CGCATTTTCGTGTCTTTTTATTCGTCCCGGGCGAGTTTGGTGCACAAATAAGTGTCGGCAGTGTTGGAATTCAGTTACGAGTGATTGTCGGAGTGTATTTATTAGTTGACCACGCGATATATACATTTGTTATTCGTAACCGGTACTCGGTCTTTCTCGTTTTATCCGACTAGCGACCAACAGAAAAATCTATTTCTTTATCATTAATACACGCGTTTCGCAGTATTTTCGCATCCGACGAGTATTCGGAGTGTTATTTAGCTGCAGAATATCGAAGAGCATCGAGAGAAGCATTGAAAAATTTCCGCGATGGATTAATTGAGGTACGTAACCTCATTTGCAATACATAACCTCTTACTCGCGTTTATCATGATTGTCGACACCGCGTCACTTTACCAATTTTCACGGCATTTGAGAGTGTTACGCGTAATAAGAGTCAAATGAATCTACAAGTAATTGTCTTGATGTACTGTAATAATACGACCACGACTAAATATGTTTTTTAATGTCCGTGATTAATGTCTATACGTCAAATCACCTCCAGTTTATTACAATGTGAAATGTATTCAGTAAATAAAAATCTTTTTGTTTTCTGGTTCAAAAATTCTTTTTATGTAAAAGGTGGAAATAATTAAGAAAGAAATTTTAAATCTAAATGTGACGGGCAAAATTTATAATTATATTTAAAACTCACAAAGACCGATAAAACTGTTATTATTATGAATTCCACAAAAGGATATCTATTTAATTAGCCGTAAGCATTACATTATATCTTTCGCAGTCGGTTTCTGTTAGCTTTATATCACATGCATAAACGACTTGAGCAATAATGTAATTAAATGAATAACATATTTTCTGCGACGATATTTTGCACGCGAGACTTCTTAATTAGATTAAGACTCCAGTCTTGATTTATACAATTCCGATACGAACTTCCGATATGATACTGGCAGATTTATCGCGACATAATTTTAATCCTCTTGCATCGGTCGTGCCAGATGCGTGATATAAGCGAATAATATTCGGATTTCTACATTCAAGTTCTAAACACGGTATAGCTACTCACGACGACTGTCGTATATAAATTGCAGCTACAATTTGCAGCATGACTAATTGACAAGTTTAATGCTCCGGATTATATAGGTTTTGTTATTCAAACGATTTAACTTAATTTAGCACTGTCAAACAAGAAAATATACAAAATTTAATCGGGTAATCTTACAATATTATTTGTCTATTGTAGGACATTATTAACATTTGCATTACTATATATTTTAAAACTTTGTTCTATTCTCTTTTATAACAATCTCTTTACACATAAATATAACAAAGATTTCTACCTAATTATAATTATGCAAATGTACGTTGTGTATTTTATTTTAATTTTTTTGATCATTTAATATATTTTATTATCGGTATAATGCACAAGCAACGTATAATTAAACGGATCACATCTATCTTCCGTCTATATACTCGCATGTATAAGGCTAATATAATTATCGATTTATTGATGATACGTGGCTTAGCGAGTACGACTTCTGCCTCGTCGATGATAGAGGCATTGTAACATTACCATAGGAAACCCGATTCTAATTATGCTAAACACTTCATGCAAGACTACGCATTAAAACCTCTTGGAATAGCTGTCTCGCCGAACACGCATAATTATTGTACAAACGACGTAACCATTCGAATGCGTCGAAAATATAGTTTCTTCGGAATTTCTAGAGGCTTCTGCAAATATCCGTAAGATTTTTTTCAAGAAATACAGGAAATTTGTGTCCTCATATGACTATAAGTGAGTTTCTATATAAGAATTTGCTGTATCTAGAAAAAAAATATACCACAGGATAAACCGATATTTTTACTTAATTGCTTTAAACTAAATAATTATTTAAAAATATATTAAAAATAATTTTATTATCTGTGCTAGATTTATCCGTCGCTTTATTATGCGGTATTTATGATTGGATATTGCATAATCTTTGCCGCATATCTGAGTGTTACTTTCGAAATTCGCGAAGCGTAAAGGATCTGAAAGGCTGCGAAAACGAGGTGGCTCAACGACATCGTAGGCGTTTCGCGATTTTCTACCAGTAAACGGCACTTTAATGACGCGGTTCGCGAAGAGTTGATTCACGGAAAGTATAATATTTAACGACTATTTCGCGGTAAAGCCGTTAACGTGTTGAATGGCATATATTTTCAATAATCGACGAGATCAAATCTTGTTTAGAAGAAACAATTTTTCAGCAGCGTTGTTAAAAACTAAAATTTAAAATTTTAACGGGCTGTAAAATTTTTAAAAATTAAGTGAACATTTGAAGAAACAATAAAGCAAGTCTGTTTTTTTTAAATTGTGTTTTATGAGACAATTCATAAATAATTATTTAAATATTGGAATTATATATTGAATATTTATTGAAAATAGAGATATATTAAATGTTTATTGAAAAAAAGGTTGCCTAATTCTTGCTCTCAGATCTTAAATATTTTTTTATATCGTGAAAATGACATAGTAAAGAAATATTCGCATGTTATTGCGTATTGTCTATTCAAAGATATAATAGGCAATTGATTTATTTGGAGCTGAATTTATGGATTACGAACACACATGATATGTGCCTATGCCGACAATGCAAGCGGCTAGTACTCAGGATAAACCGTTAATTATGCAGAACCAAACCATTGATAGCATATGTTTCCTGACGCAATGTTGATTTCAGGGCCGACAGATTGATTTTCTCATTTTATTTTTGTCAATTCGTATAAATCATGTCTGCAATATTGATGAATGCTGATTGGCATATTATTACGCTAAAATGTGTGTCCAAATATCACATCGAAATGTTTCCGTTATTTTACATATATAAATATTAATTTCATAATCCTAGTATGTTTTATCACATACAAAAGAATGCACAAGAGATGGTGGAAAAAGAAAATAAATATCAGTAGTAAAATTTAGGAAAAAAATTATATTTGTTACGATCTCATCAATTTTTTTCGAATTATTTCTCTATCGAGTGTTTGATATAATATATACACATATGTATATGTTTATTTATTTATCACATAGACTAGAAAATCAAAATGCATCATTGATTTTATGCATTAAAAATATAATCTCTCTCATAATCATTATAGAAGGATTATAAATTTTTATGACTTTCGTGCTTTTCTCATGACCGTCTCTGTTTTATGACTTGAGAAGACTTTGGTTGAATTCTTGCAAAGTTGCATGAATATCCTCTAAAAAGTAAATATTCCGCAAAAATCTGAACACACGCATCAACAGCACAACGATCATTAGCTGGTCAATGATCGTATCGCAGCAATCTCCGGGCTCTTTCGATTATCCGCATCCAATTATCAATTCACATCAACTTTATCAAAAATAGCAATGCGAGTCTTATGAATGAACGAGAAGCGAATCCGTGTGAGTTAACTCGCGCGAATCCACGCTTTCTGTATAATACTCGGCGAGGCACTCCGGAGCCGCTTCTTACGACGAGCATCGCCGCGTAAGGGGCATCTCCACGATGTTCCTTTTGCCGGGCCCCCGATGGTCTCCGGGTACACGAAGCCATTAATATTATTACCGAGCGAGAGCGTGTGGGTATCATTATCGCGGACGATGGAAAAAACGACGACCGACAGGGACGCCGAGAGAACAAGAAAGCGAGGGAGAAAAGGAGACGAAGTGGAAGAAGAGAACAGCGAGAGAGGAAGGCGGCGGAGAAGTGGCGGATGGTGGTGGTGGTGGTGGTAGTGATGGTGGTATCCTCAAGTAAGAACACCTTTATACACTCGACTTGAGGAGGCTCCTCGATTACGCGGGCATTCGAAATTTTCGGGGTTCTTCCGACAGCGCCGGGAATCACCCTCGAAATTGATGTTGCTCGGCCACGCAATCTCGGGTCGCTTCGGACTGCTCGATTTTTCTCGCCTGCCCATACATCTCCCTCTTTCTCTAACCGTTTAAAGACGAAGAAGGAACATATTTATTACACTTCCCATGACCCAGGAGCAATGCGCGGGATCCGCACGTTCGTCGCCACAAGCATCTCTCGCAACATAAGGAAAATGGTATACCGAGTAAAGATTAATGTCCTGCGAAAGAGGCGAGAAGAAGAATATCGGCCTCCGCAAGGTTTGGTGATTTATCGCGAAGTGGCCCGTTTACTTGGAATGCCTACGGAATAAATTTCCCGCTCGTGTAATTGCTGAAAGACAAATAAGCCACGTCATCTTGGAGATATACTTTACATATCTCGTATGATGTATGAGTCACACATTCGTGCGAATGCATATAAATATTAAATAAGCATTGCAATAATCGTGCATCGAAACTTATTTTCTAAATGGAATCCAATAAAGAATCGTTAAAAATATATAATATATTCAGATAGATTAAAATGCGGAAGTAGGTTTTTTGTATTAAATAAAAATAATAATTACCGTAATTGAACTTCTATTTTATACAGCATTCAACTATGTGATAACAATGACATTATTCTGTAGACGCGTATAATTTTATATTACGAATATATAATAGCGATACTGCTTACAATAATTCGCTTCAATTACCATCTCAAAAGACATTTAAACTTCTGAACAGAAAATACCATACGACATCCTTCCTCTTTTTCTTTGTTGCTTCTCTCATCCAGCTCTCGTCATCCTAGGTTCTCGAGAATTCCTTTATGTGCCGCAATACAATATAATTAAGATGAGATAATGCGTTTTACGATACACGAAGATGTACGATTATATGTTGCGATGAAATCTCGATATTGCGATAACAGTTACGAGTCGTTATTAATCTAAGCGTCGACCGCGTTGGTAATATTATTTTATCGCAAAGAACCGTTATAAAAACTCAAGACAAGCGAATCTTAAATTATTATAACTGTGATTGAACATGATAGTTTCATCAAATTTATATGATAATGTGAACGAGAAGCAAAAATAATAATAATAATATTTATTCTTTACAGATTGACTTGCCCCGAACCATATTTCCTCAGCGAGACTTTGTACGCAACACCGGATGAACTTGAAAATATCCGTGAGGCCACTCTTCATGTGATAACCATCGGAACTTTCATTGAAGATTCGACAAACGTAAGTACAGTTGTAATTTAGACAAATATTATTTCTCTCTTTCTCTCTGTGAAATGTTGTATGTCGTTTACGAAATTTGCGATTCTTGATGTTGATCTTTTTAACGCAATTTATTTAATTTTTATATATGCTTTACGAGCTATTCAATTCTTCTATTACATAAAATAGATAAAAAAGTATAGATTTTTAATTACACAGGATTTTCTTAAAATAATTTTGAAGAAAAGGATAAAAATGATATTTTTAAATGCCGACACTTGAAAGGCTAAAGTAAACGAAATATTTATTTAAATCAATTGGGAACATTTAAAAATGTAAAGAGCATCTTACTCCCAGTATTAAATTCGCCAATAGAATTTGGACGGCTGCCAGTATTGCTATGCGATGCGAACCGTCTATGCAACGTTCTCCGCTTCTTCTCCGTACTTTCACATAAACGTTACGTCCTTAGAGGCCCTTAACATTCTTGCCGACCGACCGAACGACTTCATGCCGGCCTCTCGCGCGGTTCAATAAGCGGCGGATAACTGAATAAATAAAAACGCGGCTAATTGCAAAGCGCGCGCGGATGCCGGACCATCTGTCGAGCTTTCTTATCTGACGTGACCGCCGATTAAAATTACGTATAGTTATGCAGGCCTGTACCGCGAGGGTTTCGCACGGCGTTAGGGCTATCTCGTGGCCCTCTCCTCGGGTCGCTAATTAAATGCAACGGCTAATTAGATAACTGATAAAAGGTTATGGTGAGCACGATGTATTTTTTGGTTCCTCTCTCTTTTTCCTTCCCTCACTCAGGATACTCTTAGCAATTCTCTTACCACACATCCTTTTGCGTCTCTCTCCTGCGATCCGCCGAGTTTGTTTCGTTGAAATCTGAAGCTCTCGGCTCGAATTCCACGGTCGATGAGGTCCCTGCGACCTTGAGGCTTTGGAGATTCCTTTCGGAATATCTTTGCACGGAAGATGACTACGTGGGCAGCGTGTGATTGGACTCTCTCCGTTTAAAGTGCGTCTTGCTTAATAGCCAGGCGTCTGTTTAAATAGGCACCTCTAATTCTCCATGAATAAACAACGTTGCATAACAGAGCGTATTGTAGCGTAACGTAAGAGTAATATAAACAGTCAAAAAGTATTAGAGAGTCGCTCAGAATACACACACGTTACTGTACATTGCTGTTTCGTCGTGATCATAGAGAATGATTTATCGTAATAATAAATTCTATTTTAGTTCGCGCTGCCATTATTATTGCGGCGTGCGTTAGGGCAACTGAAATATTGATAATCGAGACGAACTTCGTCGAGAAAGTGTTCCCTCATTGTTTATCCTGTCGCGATAACGAGTCTTGGAACTGGTTCGCATCCAGCTTCGTATGCCTCATTACCCGGCCCGAAGGGCTTGGTATTTTATTTACGCGTTTATACCTGGGTACAGTTATTATAATTGCTTGTCGCCCTTGCGTGATTTATAGGGGATAAACACTCGCTGTTGAACGGTTACATCCTGCTCCTAATAGCTACCGTGCCGTTTTACACCGCGCTACGCGACATTTTCGATAAATGGCGAAAAATGCGAATTATGCGCTTCTTGTCCTTATAAAGTGTGCAATATACATCCTTGTTGGCTGAAATTTTATTTTATACGAAACTGTGCAGTATTTAATTTACATACTTTGTGATTTTTGTGAGTAAGATAGAGATAAACAACTGAAGATTGCATCTTAACATTATAGTAGATAAAAAATCAATGATTAAATTAAAGTGGATATATTCGCTATTTGGAAAATCGTGCTTGATATGTTCGTTCTCTTTTTCCACATTTACAATTTCTATTTTTACTTGAGGTACATCAACACTCAAGTATCGTTGACACACTCGTGTGCAGGAGGTGTGAGAAAATCATATCTCTTCTACTCTTTTTAAATCTCTCGTTTTAAGCGCAATTAGCGCATCTCTGTGGGCTTTGCCAAGAAATATGTAGGAAGCGGAGTAGCGGATAAAGAAAATACAAGTCGCAGAGAGTGGAGGAGAGTTGACTTCGGCAGACTATCTTTCGCAGTGGCCTTCCGGGTACGTTGAATAATGCATGCCGCATCTGGGGGCAACATTGTTGCGCGGCCGTGGGGACACAACACGGAAGAAACTGCCAATTGACACGTCGACAGTTTTACGAGCCAACGACTTTCATGCATCGTATATTTCGAAATTGAAGAAAGTCACTGTCCATGCGGGACATAATTCATGAAACACCGTTGCAATACTTGTTATGCAGCATTTCAATTGAATCAGCTATTTTGAGAACAAATCAAATTTAAGAACTGAAATTGTTAAGCTAACAAGAAGAACTGCATTATCTTTTAAATTTAAAAATACGGTTCAAATTGAATAATATATCAATATTGAGGTATTAAACTTAATAATATCTTAATACAATTTTTCAAATATAAAATAACAGATTTGCACAGTTAAAATCTAAAATATAACGAAGCTCTCTTTTCTTAAATACGTTAATTTAAATATATTTTTCCAAATTCCATTTTAATATCATTTGTAACTTGTGTCATACTACAGTAAAATGTGTACGTCTGTCGTATTAATGTTCTAAAACAGGCAGTTTTTTTTTTTAGAGAAAACCTCGGAAAAAAGCTAGTATAGAGCCAGTCATTCTATTGGTTCACATTTCCAGGAAATGCTTATTTTTACAAGCGTTCTATCCCAAACTGTGCTACGCACACTTGTCGATCGTAAAAGATGGTCAGCCAACTCTTAGGCACAGCAGCAAGCATAATTTATTCAGGCAATGTAGCAAAAGCGATTAATTTTATTGGTCGACGTCCCGGATATGGCTCGTCTGTACCCGTCACCGTCGCTTTGTTGCAACGTCCTATCCTATGCCCTGTGTTTCTCGATCATGCGGCGCGCGCGCTCGGCCGGCCAGACTAACACCTTATTAACGGCGGTGGTTGCGCGAACACCGGCCGCAGGAAAGTTGCGCAAAGTTAGCCGCGCGCGCACTCTCAGCCAGCGCCGGACAGCTAATATTATCTTACATGTTGAAAATTAATCCGCGAGATATATGTGACGTGAAATTTGCCATGAACTATCACAGAATGAGCAACAATTTAAGTACTTTCTCCGCGATAGAAACGAGAATTAACGTTTCGTTACGGTTAGACTATAATTGCAACGACAGAGTTTGGCTTACTCTCCGAAAGAACAAGTAGAATAAGTAGTAGAAGGAACGTTATCTATAAACAGTCCTTGCGATTATTATGGCTAGCTACGATATGAAATTTCTCTCGGCCTACTTTAATTTGTATTCTACGCCTTTCAGTGGCTTACGCCATAAAGTTGATTCACAATATTAATATTAACATCTCGCGTAGTCATTTGCAAGTCAAAACAGTTACGTCTTTTACGTTGCTATTTGCGTAAAAAAAAAAAAAAATCGCTGCTTGTAGTTTAAAATAAAATGTTTTTTTTTTTGGAAACCTGTAGTCTTTTTGCGTTAAAAGTTTGCGAGATTTAAATGAATCGCCTTTCGATGGTTTGGCCTTCATAGTTGATGGCGATAGTTATTCTCTGAACTGCCCACGTAGTTTAGCATGCAACATGCTTGAATAGCGAAACACATTGATACACCTATGCGCGGGTCTTCACATTTTTTTATCCTAAAGATGTGGATGACGGCGACTCGACTTTCCCACACATACACGCACACAATCTGGGTTCGCCGTCAATTCTTTCCATTCCTAAAAAGCGCTCGGTCGGCCACACCATAGATAGCTCTAGCGACATCCGCGGTATCTCGATGGTTTCCCGGTAACCGCGGGGTCAACACTCACATCAGGACATGTTTGGACGATGAGAAAACCGCGAATAGAAAAGAAACTTTACGGCAAAAGACCTTGAGCAGACGCATTTACGCGTACACCTGCGCGTACCTCCTCGATTCTTTCGTTCAAATGGATCCTGTTATATTTCATGTTGGAAAAAAAAATATCTATTTGCATGGTATTTCTAACGCTCGGTGTGTATTATTTGTGTGCAGATTTAGCCGTTACGTATATACATATACGTTATGTGTCCTGTCGCATTTTATCTTTTGTTAAATATATATTACATGGAGAATTAGCATTGCGCTATTTATGACAGTCTCACATTTCATATCTTATTAAAAACTTAAGATTTATAAACTTTTCACACTATTTTTTTGTTACCGTTTATATAAAATTTGAAATTAGAAAGTGTATGTTTTAGATATTTGATAAAAAATTGATCTTTAGTGTCACTGATAGACTCTACTAAAATATGTACATTTTTTATTATTTGTGTTAAATTTTAAATATAAAACAATCAGAATGTTATTAGCAACATTGGCAATCTGCGTTGTTTTATTTGTCAAGATTTTAAAATCGTAATTGCAATATTTTTTAAAAAATAATACTCTAAATGTGTCTTTAAAATGAATAATCTAAATATTTCGTACATTTATATTTATCCGTCGCACCTTCATCTTTCTATCTCCATTCATTTATGTTTAAATTCGCTCACGTTTCTACCACGTGATATCAATTCTCCCCCACAATATAATCCGAGAAGATGTGCTGAATTTACATTTCTAGTGCAACCGTCATTAAAATACAATATTATAGCATTTTTATTCGGCATCTTTTGCGATGAATCATCAAATGGAATCATGTTGCACGACGGACGGTTCGGTCACTGTTAAATATTCCCGAAGTCATCATCACCACGCATCTGTCATAAACATAATGACGGAGAAGTGGAAAAAAAAAACATATCTATAACCTGTTGTTATTTATTGTACTGTTCGTTTTTTCTGTTATGTAGGCAGCTTGTTGTAGATGCTAGTATTTATCACGCGACTTTTATGCGAGTTTTAAATTAAGTGTCGGGATAATAAGTATGAATGAGCCGGCTGTTAGGCAGGTATTCGGTTACTACAGCCTCGAAAGAACCATAGGTCAGCACCACTGTCA